TGGTAACCTAGGCTCCCAGCCCCTCCTTGAGCAGAGGCCACAGCAGCTGGAAGCAGGTATCTGGGATTTATTTATCTTCAATAATTGAAACTTTGTAGCCTTGGTCTGGCTGGAAGCCTAGGTTGCCCCTGGTAACCTAGGCTCCCAGCCCCTCCTTGAGCAGAGGCCACAGCAGCTGGAAGCAGGTATCTGGGATTTATTTATCTTCAATAATTGAAACTTTGTAGCCTTGGTCTGGCTGGAAGCCTAGGTTGCCCCTGGTAACCTAGGCTCCCAGCCCCTCCTTGAGCAGAGGCCACAGCAGCTGGAAGCAGGTATCTGGGATTTATTTATCTTCAATAATTGAAACTTTGTAGCCTTGGTCTGGCTGGAAGCCTAGGTTGCCCCTGGTAACCTAGGCTCCCAGCCCCTCCTTGAGCAGAGGCCACAGCAGCTGGAAGCAGGTATCTGGGATTTATTTATCTTCAATAATTGAAACTTTGTAGCCTTGGTCTGGCTGGAAGCCTAGGTTGCCCCTGGTAACCTAGGCTCCCAGCCCCTCCTTGAGCAGAGGCCACAGCAGCTGGAAGCAGGTATCTGGGATTTATTTATCTTCAATAATTGAAACTTTGTAGCCTTGGTCTGGCTGGAAGCCTAGGTTGCCCCTGGTAACCTAGGCTCCCAGCCCCTCCTTGAGCAGAGGCCACAGCAGCTGGAAGCAGGTATCTGGGATTTATTTATCTTCTATAATTGAAACTTTGTAGCCTTGAGCGGAGCTCAGGGCAGCGGGAACCTTGGCTTCCTCCATTGCTGGGGGCAACCCAAGCCTCCTGCTCGCTCCAGCTCCGTGGCCGCCACCATCTAAGTTGGGTTAATTTGCATATTCGCTTCGGAGTGGCTTGTGGGGGTAGCAGAGGGATGGTCAATTTGCATGCTCCTCGTTTATTAGATTAGATTACTTTTTCATCACTTTCAGGATGTTCCTTAAAAAGCTATTAAAACCACACCAATTTAGTATTTTTCCATTTGGAGGTGGTTCTGTAAAGTAATGAAGAGTTTGGATAAAGTATCTATCGCTGATGACAGAGGTAAAATGTAAGATATTTTCTGGATATCATAATTTACCAGGGTAAGTCTGTAATGAAGACTGAAACCATCTCCCTTTTTGCTCTAAGTATGTGGAGAACATAATGGTGAAAAATTTGTTCACTTGTTGGCATAAAATCATAACCTGACTTGCAAAGCTTAGATAACACAGATTCCAAGGGTCACCTGCATTTCTCAATTCTTATGCTTTGTGGGATCATAGGAATTCCAGATGTTCTTTTCTCTTGGGTGCTGATTAATTGGGTTTTATGTGGCAAGGCTTAAATCCTCAATGTATTGATGAACATTTCATTCAGAATAAATGGGAACAGATTTTTTTTTTTTTAAAAGAAGCATTCATCTTGGCTGATGTGGCTCAGTGATTGAGCATTGACCTATGAACCAGGAGGTCACTGTTTGATTCCTGCTCAGGGCACTTGCCTGGGTTGTGGGTTCGATCCCCAGTAGGGCGCATGCAGGAGGCAGCTGATCAATGATTCACTCTCTTCATTGATGTTTCTATATCTCTCCTTCTTCCTTTTCTCTCTGAAATCAATAAAAATATGTTTAAAAAAGTATTAAAATGACTGTATTTATTATCTACTGAACTCTAAATTGTAGTTTTGTTCCCTTTGCTAATCAAGTTTCTTCATTGACTAAAAGAGAACCTGATTATTGCTAACTTAAGCAGAAAAGGGATTTATTTGAAGGATGTTGTATAACTCAGGATTGATGAGAAAGATGGAGAAGTAGGTTCAGAAAATAAGAAGGAACCAAAATTTGTGTTCATATCATAGGAAAAGTCTGGTTAGGAAGCCAGTTCTATTTCTATGACAGTTGTTCCTGTGTCTGCATTATTGCCTCAAAGTTAAAATTTCTTTGTGGGAGTATCCCATTGACAGCCTAGATAAGCAGTTCTCTTGTTTCTAGCTTTCACGGGTCTGTGAGTTCAAACTACTTTTATAATAATTCTTAGGTATTATTTGCTCTTTTCACTGTGTTGGCATTTGCACTTGATGATATAAAAGAAATGGTGGGCAAATGTGCTGGTGCCTTACCATGAGTTAAGGCAGTGCCACATACACACACATGCATTCTCTAAATATTTTAATTTTGCATATAGTCTAGAGCTCCATTTGTTCACTTGGCCAGAAGTCACTGGATATTTTCTGAGCTGTTTTATTGGTATGCTGATAGCATGATGTGAGAACATTGTTACGGGAACCAGATTGCTTGGTTGTGAATCCTAACTTCCCCACCTACTAGCTGTGAGTTGTTAGGCAGCATTTAACTTCTCTAAGCTCCAGTTAACTCTTCTGTAAAATGGGAATAGTAAGAGCACTTACCTTATAGAAATGTGAGGATTAAATAAGTTAATACAAATAAATCACTTAGGATAATGCATGCCTTTTTGTAAACAGTTAATAAGTGTTAATCTTCATAATCATTATTATCATTATAAACTTTTCAAATTTGGTCTCTGACAAGCTGGTCACAGGAGAAGGGCCAATAGATGTAAATCTGAGCTGTCTGGTTCTTGTAGAGCTGGATTACAAACTCATCAGGTCAAGATTCTGATCTGGAAGCATGAAATGTTACTGGTTTTAGATTAATGTAAAATGTAAGCTTTTCCCTTATACTTTCTACTAATTTTATGTTAGCCTGGGCTGATGTAGAACAAAACGAATGAATAAATTGCAAACAAATATTCAAGGATAAAACTTGATAAGAATATATTGTATTTAGTTTGATAGTGTATGTTTTTTGTATATAAGTGCAAATAATGGTCTTTTTTGTTGTTGTGTACACAAAAGCTATAAAATAATATACTTGTTTAATAGCCTTATTTGTCATTATCTGACAAATATTGATTACATTGTTTCCCTTAATAGTGGGACTTTTTTTTCAGGGCAGGGCTGTGACTTTAGTTTTTAGCTCCAGTTGCTAGCACAGTGCCTAAAATGGCATAGGTTCATAGCAGGTATTTGCTGAATAAGTAATATGCTTTCATATAGAAGAGTCATATTTTCTACTCTGCTAGAAAATTATTCTTAACAGAGTATGCTTTCTGGATATTATAGGATATTAACCTATATAATAAAAGCTTAATATGCTAAGTGTTCGGTCATCCGGTCAACCATCAAAGTGTAATATGCTAATTATATGCTAAGGCTGCTCAACTGTTCGCTATTATGTGCACTAACCACCAGGGGGCAGACATTCAACTGGTCGACCAGTTGCTATGATGTGTACTGACCACCAGGAGGCAGACAGTTGACTGGTCAACTAGTTGCTGTGATGTGCACTGACCACCAGGGGGTAGATGCTCTGGTAGGTTAGCTTGCTGCTGGGTCTGGCTGATCAGGACGGAGCGAGATGGGCCAGACACGCCTTGGAGCCCTCCCGTGGTCCCTCCCTGGCTGGCCAACCTCCCGCGTCCCTCCCTGGCCCCGATTGTGCACCAGTGGGGTCCCTCGGCCTGGCCTGCACCCTCTTGCAATCCAGGACCCCTTAGGGGATGTCGGAGAGCCGGTTTTGGCCTGACCCCACTGGTGCATGAATTCGTGCACCAGGCCTCTAGTAATTAATAATACCCTATTGCACATTTGAAAGTTGCTAAGAGAGTAAATCTTAAATGTTCTCATCACAGGAAAATAAATTTTTGTAGCTTTGTATGTGACAGATGTTAAGTAGACTTACTGTAGTGATCACTTTGCACTATATACAAATATTAAATCAATATGTTGTACACCTAAAACTAATATAATTTTATATGTCAATTATATCTCAGTTAAAAAGGGGGCTAAAGTATTTTAAAAAGAGAGAGAGTATACTCTCACTAAATATAATGCAATTTCATGGTGTACTCCAAGGAACTGTTACTATATGTTATAATGGTGGGTGGGTGTGAGTTGGGAATGGGAAAGGAGGGGTAAAATATGATAGACAATACTCCCTCAGACATGAAATTAAATATAGGTGGATAATATAGTTGAATGTTCGATTTTCTTATTTTGTCTTGTTTTAAACGTCCCGCTTGCCTTGAAATCCTTTTTTGGTAGTAAACAGAGCTGGCCAAGCCTTCAGATGCCTGCCATGCTAAAGCTCCCGTTTAAGGGAAACTATCTTGTTCCTTAGCCCTTGCTGGATGGATGGTGACTCTTTGTATTTAGCCATAACCCCTGGCTGTGGCCAAGTGGACACTAGAAAACCAAACCAAGAACATTGACTTTTGACTTGGTACAAAGAGATCTACTGGGCTAATCATAGTTTCCCTTGGATAATTTAAAAATACAAAATGTGGAGAGCTGGAGATAGTTTACAGTGGGGGGCAAAAATTGAAACAGTGCATTAAGGAATATCTTGAGGTAATAAACATGAGGGAAAGATGTGTTACCATGTATTATGGAGAAATAAAAAAATATGAAAAATCTGAGAAAGCCATTTAATAGTGAAACTGAAAGAATTGGGTATTTGGAATTAAGTTATATAATTAATAAGGAGACCAGTAGAAAGATGACTACCTGTTTGATTAATTGATTCATTTTTTTTAAATTTCAACAGATTAATTTATTGAGTTACTACAATGTACTAGACACTTTTCTAGCCCAAGAGTATTGCTCTGAAAAACAGAGAAGACAGTGATTCTCAACTGGCTGTAACTTTGCCTGCCAGAGAATGTTCGACAGTGTTTTAGAGACATTTTGGTTGTAACAATCTAAAACGGGCAGTGCTCTTGGTATTTTATTGAATAGAGAATGCTGCCAAATATCATACAATGCACAGGACAGCTTCTTACAAAAAATAAATAAATGATACGACTCAAAGTATATGTCATGTTGAGATTTGGAAATCCTGGAATAAGCCATCATAAGTATATATTTTATGGAGTAATTACCATCTTGTGGTTGATATTTAACTTTCTGTGTTTTCAGACGTGAGGAAGTTTACTGGAGTAAAATGGAGGCCTCGGTAATATTACCCATTCTGAAGAAAAAACTAGCCTTCCTTTCAGGTATGTTTTCTTTAAAATTGGAAGTTTTTGATGTATAAACTTGTTTTTTTATAAGTTTGACAGAAATGCACTTCATTTTTCTGAGATTTTTGTTTCAGAGGTATTTCTGAAGCATCTTTTAATCAGAATGGATAGCTATGCAAGCCAAATCTGTCACTGTTGTTTCTTGGCAGGCCAATTTTTATCTGTTGTGTAATTTGGTAAAATGATCTCCACAGGGTAGATGTCATGATGTCTCACTTCTTACATGAAAATGAAATAATTGATACAGTCTAAGAATAATTGACTAAATAGCATCTAAATAATTGTTTCTAAAACAGAGTAATTCGTTTTTATGATACCCTGCATCCTAGCTTGTCTTCCATCTTTCTATGAGAAGGTTTCAATGTGCTGAGGGAATTATGAAATATCAGTTACACAGCTTTCAGTTTTTGCTGTTTGAACTTGGTTAAACAGGCTTGGTTTACCTTCAGTTATTAGCGCAATGTCTGTATCAGCTAAGAAGAGTCAGAGAAACTGCGAGATATTTTATCAGTGTGAGAGCAGTGGTGGGTACATTGGGTGTAGTGATTTTTCTGGAATTCTGGATCACTGAGTAAATTAGCACATGCTTTAGAACAGCTACTGTGGCCAGCCTGTTTAGGGTTATTTGTATTATGTTATCTCGCTTTTTCTTTCTTACTCTTTAGATCCTATCAGAATTTTCTTGATATTTAGGCTACTAATGTCTTTTTATTTCAAAGCATATTGCAGCTCTCTGTAAATTGGCGTGTTTTTCTAGGGTAGTATAATGGACAAATAAGATATTGTCTATTAGTATTATTGTTTCCTTATTTATTAACATGCATTTCCTTTTTATGAAGAATCCTCTTCCCTTACCAGTTGACACTTACAATTTTCCATTCTTTTCTGATACGAAAGGTGTTGTAGGAAACATTTTCATTCATAGTTGGTGCATTTTGTACCAGTTCAGTAGTGTGTATTTCTGTAAGTGGGCCTGCTAAAGAGAATTTACATTTAAATGTGTGTGAGGTTTTGTCAGATTGCCCTCTAACAATATTGTTTCAAAATGCCCGTTGCTCCACACCGTTGCCAAGAGTGGATATTATTATTCTTTTATAATCTTTATCACTGATATTTTGTTTCCTTATGACACTTGTCTCTGTGCAACATTTGACTGTTGACCTTACCTATCTTGAAAGTCTTTTTCCTGTCAGCTTCTGCCCTCTTTTGTGTTTGTACCAGTGATTGCTTTATTGTTTGATAGTGAAAGCTTGAGGGCATAAGGTTAAATGTAGTTCTGAATGTTAGACCTGTCCTCTGAAGACAATTCCACAGTGGGTCCGCATGCTACAGTCCAGATATGATAACCTTTTTTTTAATACCCTGCATCCTAGCTTGTCTTTCATCTTATTAATGTAGGGATAAAGATTAACATTTTTTGAGGAGAAAATGAAGCATCTCTTAGCCCACCCCTCTTGATTTTCTCTATTGACCATTAATTATTTTAACCATTAAATTAACACTTGATTTTCAAACTTGTTTAAAAATAGAGAAAAACTTTTAAAACCAAAATCATTCAGGGAATAGAGTTAGAAAACCATGGATGCAATCTGTTTTTTTAAAACTTACATTCTAGACAAAAAAAAAAATGTGCAATTGAAAGTCTCAATTGATTATCTATTAAGTTGAATCACTTGAAATTACCATTTATTGAGGTTAAATAAAATGGTTGAATATCAGTAATTTATATGGCTAACCTAATAAAAGGATCCTCTATGGTTCGGTACATCAAGAATTGCACTTATGCCACTCATAGCAGTCATCTTGTTCACACTTTTTAGATCAGGGGTGGGGAACGTCCAGCTGGCGGGCCATATAAGACCCGTGAAATCATTTGGTTTGGCCCCGTCAAGGCATTGGGGAGTTAATTAAATGTTTGACTAAATATAGCAGGCAATTTTTAAGTTGATAATTTTGTATGACCTGTAATGATGTTATAAATATACAAATGACAGAAAAAAGGTTCCCACCCCTGTTTTAGATCATATAGAATAGTTTCCAGTAGAATCTGCTGGTTTTTAGGCTTCTAAAATGGCCACAAGTGTCAGTTGCATCAGAAAGGCTTCAGAGTGAAAAGTTAGTCATATGGGGAACTTTCAAAGAAGCTCTGTGTGTATAAAAGTATTAGTACATTTTAATGCTAATGGAAAATTGAATAGGAGTTGAACATATCCAGGTCCCATACACTCTTCTCAGCTGGGCAGGGACTTTCTCTTTATTGCCTCATGAACAAAGAATGTCTAGCTGACCTTTGTGCATTAACTCATATCAGTCCTCATCACAGAATGCTCTTTTGGCTTGGTTTATAAATTCTATCATTTTCTTAAGTCTGTCCTAGGAAACATTCCACATTTATCACAGCTCCTATAATTTTCTCAATTTCTTTAATCATTTTTATAACGCAGCCTAATAAATAAACTGTCATATTTCATACTGTTATTTCTTATGGCTTAAAGCTTTTCTTAGGTTGATTTAATTTTATTTATAAATGCTTATTGTGCTGGGCTCACAATAGGTGTTTGATAAGTTGATTAAATTAAGAAGCAGACTAGAAAGAAGAAAATTAAACTGATAATTGCTATGTATAAGGGAAAATTTCATGGGTGAATTTTTTTCTAAATTTTATATAATTTTGCTATACTACTATGGACATTTACAGTGTATAAAATAAATAGCCATTAGGTAGTTGTTGTTTTTTTTACTGATGTCTTAAACTTGTAATCATTTTGGTAGCATTGAATCTAAATATATATTATTTGTTTAGTGCTTTAATATCTATTACATGTTAAATTTAGCTTTTTTTTTCTTTAATAGGAGGAAAGGACAGACGAAGTGGCCTCATTCTGACAATTCCATTATGCTTGGAACAGACAAATATGGATGAGCTGAGTGTCACCTTAGACTATCTACTCAGCATTCCAAGGTGACTCTTAAGGTGTCTTTTCTTAAATCTCAATATGTCTTCATTCACTTACTAATGATTCTTGCTATTGTTAAAATATACTTTGCTATCTTATCTGCTTTTATTAGCAGTGAAGTTATAATTAAAAACACTAGAATCAGTAATTTATGAAACCACAACAGATAAAATATTCTTTTTATGCTCTTCAGGCACTGAATAATATACAGATTTCCAAAATGTATGTACTGTCAACTTTTAAGGAACATGAAGATTGAGTATTTATATATCATGCAACTTGAGAAAACTTAGAGAAATGTGTTGAATAGAAAGTATCTTTTATTTAGTTATCTCACTATATAGATACAAGTACATCTGCAGATTTTAATTTATTGAGTGAAGGCTTTTTAGAGTTTAAAACATTCTTGTTTTAAAAAATGAAAAAAATATTTATATTTTAATTCAAAGGTCTTTGGATTTTTAATTTTTATATTTTTTGGGTGAAGACAAAACTTACACGTTTCTATTTGCTTGAGCCTATCCTTCATTTCAACAACAAGGAAAACAAAAAAAGTCCTCTCCTCAACTTTTCCTCCCATCGGTGATATTTGGGGGCTGAAGTTTCTTGAGTATGCCTCCCAAAAACAACTGGATCAGAATCTCTGGAGGTCAACTCCCAGGCATCAGAATTTTGAAAAATGTCTCCAGGTTATGCCTGATTCTATAGAGTTCCAACATGTACAGAAGTTACCTTTCCATTTTTCTCAAATTTTCAATTTTTTAAAAATTCAAATTTAGATTTTAAATTGGTTCTTCCTAGTTGTAGAAAACTCATTTATGTTACAGAAGAAACATCAGAGCACAGAGGTTTAATGACTTGCCAAAAATTACACAGACATTAAGGTCGTAAGTCTTTAGTCACTCAGTAAATGAATGAGGTCCTACAATGAACTCCTCATTGTTCTAGGTACTGAGGAAATGGGTGAACAAAGCAGACCCAGTCCCTGCCCTTATCAGCCTTATTCCTTAATGGGCAAACTAATATTACAAATAAATACACAGTATATTAGATGTTCATGAAGGCTATGAACACTAGAGTTAAGAGAGAGATGGCTTGGAAAGGGTAGGTAAGTCAATATTTTACAAAATGGTAAGATTTTATCAGATGTGATTGAATTGAGGAAAAGGACCTATAGATGTCTGATGAAAGAGCATTAAGAAAGAACATTGAAGACAGAGTGAACAGGAAGTGCGAAGGCCCTGAGGCAGAAGCAGTCTCAGCCTGTGAGACCAGTAAGGTGGCTGGAGCAGTTTGAGAGGGATAGAGTTCTGGAAGAATGATTAGAGAGAGAGGCTGGAGTCAGTCAGGTCATAGAGGACCTTGCAGGCCATTAAGTTCTGAATGAGAAGGCAAGCCATTGCTGCATTCTGACTGAGGAGTGATTTGATTGAATCATGTTACATTTTTAAAGGGCCTCTGTATTTAAAGCACTGTGCTGGAAGCTGCCAAGATATCAGTAAGATAATATTCTTGCTTTTTTGAGAGCATATTATCTAATGAAGAAATTATAAACAATAATTATAATAAAAGCATGAGTGAAATTAGTGCCATTATAAAAGTATAAGCAGAGCTTTGTGAGTGGAGGAGAAGGAGCCCTTCATAGTAATCAGAGAAATTTTTAAGAGCAACAGAACACTGAGCTCTGGAAATCCTTTGGCAAATAGAGTGAGTGAGCTTGTTGAGGAGTCTCTTCTCTTTTACTGCCTGTTTAACGGAGTCACCTCGCCCTCGAAAGGCTCTTAATAGAGTAGGAACAAGGAGGCAGGATTTTAATAGTTTTTTGTTGTTGTTGTTGTTATTGTTCTTAAAATATAAACATGTTAATGGTAGTATAGGAATTTATTAGTATAGCACTGCAGCTCCTTCAACACGCCATTTATAAAGAACATAACATGCTTCTAAATTATGTATGTTGTTAAAAACAGTTTAAACTGTCACTCCACTTGTAGGAATGAAGTTAAAGAACAACAACAAAAAAACACCTTCTCCCTTGAAGTAGTTGAAATAGTGTCTTTGGATTGTGTGTGTTTTCATTATCTATTTCAGTAAAATGTGAGAAAATTATGATTAAGGGTGTTTTTAAGTACCTCAAAAGATAAATTTGGAATATTTCATGCCCTTAAGATCACTGCAGATGGTATTTGCAAGCTTCATTACTTTCTTTGTCTTAATATACAGATTAATTTAGAGTGTGCTTTGAAATATAAAAGCCTATGTAAAACTTCTTTAACAAAATGGGTTGTGTAACCTGTGTCTGAGACATGCAGATGCCAGTGAGAAGAAAATACCAAATTATGGGTTGGTTCACTTCTCTTGGCTCTAGTCCAGTGGTTCCCAAACTTATTTGGCCTACCGCCCCCTTTCCAGAAAAAATATTACTCAGCGCCCCGTGGAAATTAATTTTTTAAAAATTTTCAGTGAGAAGAAAATACCAAATTATGGGTTGGTTCACTTCTCTTGGCTCTAGTCCAGTGGTTCCCAAACTTATTTGGCCTACCGCCCCCTTTCCAGAAAAAATATTACTCAGCGCCCCCTGGAAATTAATTTTTTTTAAATTTTAATAGCAATTAAACAGAAAGATATATGTATTAATGTTTCTACCTTTTTCGTAAAATATAGTAAAGAAAGGTGTAAATTAGAAACATTGAAGTTTGAAATTATGAAACTATTTATTGAACTCAGAATAGAAAGGTAATACAAAAAAAGTTAAAACAAATGCACCTATGGCCATCACCGCCCCCCTGGATCGCTGCAGCGCCCACCAGGGGGCGGTAGCGCCCACTTTGGGAATCACTGCTCTAGTCCCAACCAGGAAAGGCCCTCTACTAAGCAGTCTGTGTCTTAGCTCTTCCTCCTGCAAATTCCCACAATGCATTGGAAGTCCCTGACTTGCTGCCACTTCTGTGAAAACCACTCAACAGCCAGCTACCCTCTCCAGCTGGTCTCTCTTGGGCTTTTGTCCTCCCTGGGTCATAGTGGTCTTCCTAGATGTCTTGTTGGTAGGGAACTCCAGGAATTTTCTCCTTACCTGATCCCATAACCAGCAATTAGATGTCAGATTTGCTTTCCCAGTAAGTCTTTATGTATTGTTGCTAATCCAGAAGTGACTGTTATATTGCCCCCCCAACAATACTAGTAGGTCCTATATTTTGTAATACAAAATCCAAAAATAGAACACTTCAGCATTCGAGATGCATAATTACTGAGATATAATTCAAATACCATGAAATTCACATACCCTTTAAAAGGGTACCATTTAGCAGGTTTCAGTATATTCACAAGGTCGTGTGACCATCACACTGTAATTACAGAACATTTTCATCAGCCTAAAAAGAAACCCTATACCCATTAGCAGGAACTCCCCTTCCTCCCCTCCTTCCAGCCTCTGGTAACCACTAATTTTCTTTCTTCTGTCTCTGTGGGTTTGCCCATTTTGGATATTTTATATAAATGGAACCATATAATACATGGACTTTTGTGTCTGTCTTCTTTTCTAGGTTTATCTATGCTATATAGCATGTGTCAGTACTTTATTTTTTTCTGGTTGAATAATATTTCATTGTATGGATTATCACATTTTGTTTTTCCATTTATCAATTGATGGACATTTGGGTTATTTCTGCTTTTAGCTGTTTTGAATTATGCTACTATGAACATTTGTGTGCAAGTTTTTTTATATGATCATATGATTCAATTTGTTCACCTGTTGCATACTTCTTGCTCTTATTTTGGAAGCTCAGGTTCTGTTCCTGCCTTTAGCAATATCATTCTTATGATCTTACTGTTTTTCATTAGAATTGGACATCACTTCTCCAAGAACTCTCTTGAGTAGCAGTTCTCAACCTGTGGGTCACGAACAATGAAAATACATCCTGCATATCAGATATTTACATTACGATTCATAACAGTAGCAAAATTAGTTATTAAGTAGCAACGAAAATAATTTTATGGTTGGGGGTCACCACAACATGAAATGTATTAAGGGGTCGAGGCATTAGGAAGGTTGAGAACCACTGCCTTGAGGCTATTGTGAATTCTTAGAGGGATTAAGGGAGGATTAGGAAAATCCCCTCAACTGTTGGATTTAAATCTCAGGAAAGGGTCTGCTGTTTACCTTTCCTATAATGTACACAATTGGGAAAACTTTGAGTGGGGAGAGGTTTCACTATAAATCCTTGCTCTGCTAAGCAAAGAGGTAGTTTCTTCCACTGTATTGGAGGAAGGGTAATTGAGATCCCTGCATCCAATTGATTTTATAAGTAAAACAACAACAACAACAATAATAATAGAGCTATGTGGCTTGGTTTTCGAATGGAGTTTTTTTCATATAGTTGCATTTTACTAGGGTAGGCTTCTGGAAAGTGTTAGTAAGTTCTTGAGTCATAGGTAATATATAGCAATAACACTTTCCAACACACAACATAATATTTTGCTGGTCACGTGACGGAGAGTGCAAAATGAGAGCAAAGGTGGGTTAGAAATGCTGTATTCAAGCTTTGAATTACTGGGCACACTGAATGCTACCTCATCTCATTAGTTTTCTCCAAAAGAACACAAAGAGACCCATTTCCAATGGTTCAGTAATAGCTTACTTCGTTTTCTACCTGTTTTACAGTATCACTTTACAAACCTTATACTCCAGACAGAAAGAAGAGACGAGAATTACGTGTGCACTTGGCAGTCATTAGTTACCTACTTCATTGTGATCCCATTTTATAGATGAAGAAATTAAGAGACCAGTGAGACTATTTGAAGGTTACTTTGATTTCTTGAAATGAGAAAAATAAATTGCTTGAGAAAACTCAAATGATACAGTCTTGTTGACAATGTAAACCAAACCAAGTGAGATTAATGCTGCTCCATATACAATTAAGATGTGAACTTTATTTAGAATTGTGAAGAATAAAATATGAAGTTTATTTTAATATTTTGTAGTTTTGTTTCATTTCAGTGAAAAGTGTAAGGCTAGAGGATTTACCGTGATTGTGGATGGCAGAAAATCACAGTGGAATGTGGTGAAAACAGTAGTCTTAATGCTACAGGTAATTTTATTTTTGACTATCAGAAAATGGTTTTATTTTACAACAACAGATAAGGTGATAATGGCCAATGCATTTCATTTATAGGACTGTGCCCAGGCTTCCCAGCAGCGACTGAGCTCTGAAATGCACAGCTAACTATTGGTTTGATACATTCAATTCAATTCTTGTAGGTTTGACTTTGAGGAGTAAAATAAATGTCAGCCCTATTCCAAAGGTTTGTAAATGATCAAAAATAATGTCATGTTTAAATAATTTAAGCCAGTAGGCCAGTCAGGGTAAAAGTGTGAGGGGAGACATTATCAGATTCACCTGGGAGCTTTTGCAGGCTGTAATATCTGCGTCATCCCTACTCCACCCCATTTTGATACTACAGGTAGGGAGTAGGAATGGGTAATTCTATTCTGCAAAAGCTTCTTAGGTAGTTTTGATAAATGTCTCCCTTCTGATCCCCTCCGCCCCCCTTTCCTCCACAATGCACCAGGAATCAAGATGGTCTATTTCAGTGGTCGGCAAACTGCGGCTCCTGAGCCACATGTGGCTCTTTGGACCCTTGAGTGTGGCCACGAAGTTTCAAATGCACTGTACGCGCCAGCCCGCACGTGGTATTTTGTGGAAGAGCCACACTCAAGGGGCCGCAGTTTGCCGACCACTGGTCTATTTCTTTCTAATCCAGAACTGTACTTAACAGCTGTGTCCCCAAGGACGCTAGCAGCTCACAAATTAGCATTTGTTAAACAGCTGCAATTATACAGGCCGTGATCTGATTCTAGTCTTGTGTTTTATATTGTCTTGTGCTCCTCACAGAATACATACATGGTCCCTTGCATATAGTAGGAACTTAGTAAACATTTGTTGATGTATTAGAAGCGTGTTGAGGATACTGTGATCAGAAATGGAAAAATAAAATATTTGAATAATTGAAAGGGCCAGATTGCTCTTACCTGGGTTTCCTCAGAAGGGCTTCTAGAGAAGGTAAAAATTAAGTGAGTGATATATAAGAGATTGTATAATTTAAATGAAAGAAAGTGAAAAGAGCATTTTTGGCAGCACACTGACTTTAGAGATAGCTCAAAAACAAAGCAAACACACTGAAGGGAGTTGATGGCAGGCCAGTGTGGGGGAAAGAAAAGTTGGCAGTTACATGGGATAGTGAACATTCAGTTAGGTAAATATCAGTGATATTTAAAGCAAGATCAAGACTTTTAAATGAACTAGGAAATAATTGGTAGCTGCTTCAGGATTTTGTAGAAAGGAGTGTAATTTAAAAAATTAATTAACAAGGAGAATGACTCAATGTTACAGCTTTTATTTGGGATAATTAGGAAAAGGAATTCAAGGTGTGGAAACTGGTAATTTATTTTTCAGTTTTAGTGCTTACTAGAGTTCGAGTACCGTACTAAGCTTGCTATATAAATTATCTCGTTGAACTTTATTCTTAGAGCCTTGGAAAGCAGGTTCTATTATCCCCAAAAGTGAACTGAGGTTCAAGGATTTTAAATAACTTAGTGAGGTTCTTGTAGTGAAAATGGAAAGAGCCACGATTGGAACTTATCAGGTCCTAAGCATGGTCTTAGCTTTATCCCTTACAAAGTTTATATTTTCCAGGTGATATATCTGAGATGGTCCCCAAATTATCTACCCATTTCCTTATTATTAACTGTTTGGTCTAAACCTTCACCATTAGAATCACTCCTTTGGCCCTGGCCAGGTAGCTCAGTTGGATAGAGCATTGTCCTGATAGGCCAAAATTGTGGGTTCTGTCCCCAGTCAGGGCACATTCAAGAATCAAACAATGAGTGCATAAATAAGCAGAACAACAAAAATTGGTTTTACTCTTACTTTCTCCCTTTTTCTCTAAAATTAATAAATAAAAATTTGGAAAAATAAAAAAGAATCACTCCATTGTATTGAAAAAAACATAGCCTCCTGAGGATCAGTTTTTAACAGAGCACAGATTAGTGCCCTACCATTACTTTTCCTGTCAAATATGTTCCCAGCATTGTTAAATTCCAATCACTGAAGATGAACTCTTCTCTGTCAAAGTTGTTAAAATAACTATTAGGTGAGAAATCCATTAATTATGACCTGTGTTCTTCCTTTCATCCTGTTATTCAACTGTGTCACAGATGCACTGGGACTTGCTGTCTGAACTGGACTTTGATCAGTGGCAGTTCTGAAGAACAATCAATGGCTGATTTAATCCCTTCTTATGATTTCTTTTCTGATAGGTATTTTAACAACTTTTGGATTTATTAATAGTTAACATTTTCAGAAATTGCAATGGCCTGTTGTTTGCTCCTAGTTAAACATTTTCTACATACGAAGTCTCTCATTGCTTTTATTTCAGAAGGTACTGGTATCAGTTGTTTGGGAGCCCAGAACTTAGTGCTGGCTCTCCCTAGGGCTAATATTCTCTCAGAGGGGTGGCTTGGTTTCTCTTGTTTCTCACAGCTTTAATATTTAATGATTTTGAAATAATAATCTTTCACTAGTCAGTATATGAATAAACTTTAATCTACCTTAAACTTCTTGGCCCTCTGATAAATGTTTTGATTTTGATTTTTAATAAAATGGAAATTAATAAAATATTGTACTTAGTTTATTCACAGCCCAGTCGTTGCAGGGAACACTAGGTTTGTGATGTGTCCAGTGCCATGTTTTAAGTAGGAAGGTCTTTGTGGCGCCCTAATTAATAATAACATTATTATTATTATTATATTATCATTATTCAGTTATGCCATTTATGGTGTAGAATATAAATTTGTGGTTGTTGGTTCCTGGAGTTTGTAAATAAAGTTTTATTGGAACTTAGCCACACTCATTTGTTTACATATTGCTTATGTCTTCTTTTATACTACAGGGACAGAATTTTAAATAGTTGCAACATAGACTGTATTGCATGCAAAGCCTAAAATATTTATTATCTGGCCCTTCAGAAAGAATTTACTGACCCCTGGTCTAGAAGATTTGAAATGGTGTGGTAGAACTTTTTTAGAGTCAGACAGGCCTGGTTTCTATTACAGCGCCATCACTTAACTCTTATTATGGATAAGTTACTTTAGTTCTCTGAAGCTCAGTTTATTCTTCTGTAAAGTTGGGAGGATGAAAGCCACTTATTAATGCAAATTCATTTATTCAATAAATATATATATATGGAATATCCTCTATATGCCAGGCACATAGGAGTGACATGATAGATAAGGTACCTGCCATTGGGCAGCTTATGTTCTACTGGAAGAGTTAGACAATAAGCAGGAAAATTACTAAATAATGAAACATCAGATAGTGGTAAATACTAGGAAGAAAAATGCAGTGGTAAAAGGAGACTGAGCCAGTGGTGCTATGTTAGGTAGGGTGGTTAGTGAAGAGGGAATATTAGAGTAGAATCCTATATGAACTGAGGGAGCATTCTGATATGGGACAAAGAACATTCCAGACAGGAAACATCAAGGCAAAAGTCCTGAGGTGGGAATAGACTTCTTACATTCCAGGAGCAGCAAGGCCAGCATAACTGTGGGGGAGGAGTGAGCTGAGGAGAAAGGTATGAGATGAGGTCTTGAGAGGTCACTGCCCTGGAGGGCCTTCTAGACCTTGGTAAGAGGTAGAGAATATTTCAAAGGCTGACTAGTTTGGGATATTAGCAGTGTAGGTCATAGAAACGGGCAAATTTAAGATATATATAAGGAGCTTGCTGATAAAATATACATGGGATATTTATACATGGATAAATGTTAATTTCCATTTTTAGGTAATATGAATAACCATATCTATTAAATGTGAAATTGTATTTGTCAGAGATTAGCTTTGTCCTTGTTAAGTTAATAATCATGCAGAATCTTTTTTGTATAGTGACCTGTAAGAAACTTATTTTGTGAGAAAATAGATTTTACATTATTTGAAGAATTTCTCCAAGAAAATTGGGTTAGAAAAAAGAAATTTTATAATTTTCCAACTAAAAATTGTCTTGCAGTTTAATCTATACATATTCCTGTTTGAGAGATTCAGTAAAACAAAAATAACTAACATGTACTATGTGTATTGCTGTTTATCTTCACAATGGAATACTGTAATCTTTTCTGAGTCAGCTTATCTTTCAAGTATTTCGTTATTGCCATATATGTTTTGAAGTTTGGAGTATTTCTTCTACTTTATTATTTTAATTATTTTCCAAAGGTCTCTTAACTACTCAGCCTAATCATGAATATCTAATAATTTATAACTTTAATAAACTATTCATTTTACATGTATAATTTATAATTATTTTTTTATATTTTACAGAATGTTGTTCCAGCTGAGGTGTCCCTTGTTTGTGTGGTAAAGCCAGATGAATTCTGGGATAAGAAAGTAACACATTTTTGCTTTTGGAAAGAAAAGGATAGACTTGGCTTTGAGGTAAATATAGGAGTGTGTTATATCTTTAAATATAGCGTTTGCTGGTATTGTTTTGTTTGTGCAGCTTTGGATACTATGCAGTGTGTAAGTAATGCTTCCTCAGTGCCTAAGCAATGATCAGTAAGTATATAGTCAGCATTCAGATACTTGTTGAATGAATTATGGCGCTTTGTCAAAGACCACAAATGCTTTCTTATTTTCATTTATATCACTCTTTGTTAACTCCTTTGAATAAGTAGAAACTTTTTAGTCAAAAAGTTTCTGTGAATTACTACAGGACATTTAAGTCATACTAGGAAATTGTAGACATTTTGTAATTGAGGTCAGAGCATATTTTATATGATATGCCAATTTTTTTTAATTTTTATTTTTTAGTATCTGGTTTGGTTTTGATACATGAACACCATTACCCATCCTTTCCTATTGACATTTCTCTCTCCCTCTCACTTTCCTTGCATGAAAGTACATCTTATTGTAGATCAGGAAGAAGTCCAAAGATGAAATAGAAATTTAAACAATTCTGTCATATTTTTCCTTCCACAACCTGTTAATCCCAGCTTCCTAGTAGGAGAGTTGATAGATACTAAACTTTATATCGGTTAAATAAAATATGGAAGCTTTGCAAGGTGTACAAAGCCCAACTCTTACCCTATAGAATATAGAGCCTTCAGTGTTTGTACAAGTCAGACAATTAAGACCCATTTGGACCTTGCTATACTATAACACATGTTTATTTTCAATAAAATCAGTGTCAGTGGATGTTTGGTCTGGAGGAAAGGTCGCTAAGGTGTCTGAGAAAGATTTAAGAAAGCCTGGTTAATTCTTTTTAAAAAAAAATATATTTTATTGATTTTTTACAGAGAGGAAGGGAGAGGGATAGAGAGTTAGAAACATCGATGAGAGAGAAACATCGATCAGCTGCCTCCTGCACACTCCCCACTGGGGATGTGCCCGCAACCAAGGTACATGCCCTTGACCGGAATCGAACCTGGGACCCTTGAGTCCGCAGGCCGATGCTCTATCCACTGAGCCAAACTGGTTAGGGCTAGCCTGGTTAATTCTTAAATGAGGTAGCTTGGAATGTCTTAAAATGAGTGATTTTTTTTTTCTTCACTTAAAGAAAATATTAGGTTATGATTTACAAGCAATAAAACTTATCCATTTTAGTGTACAGTTTTGAGAGTTTAGACAAACATAAACAGAGGTATGTAACCACATCACAATCAGGAAATATCTCATCACTCCAAAAATTTCCATCACGCTTCTTTGTAGTCAACTCCTTCTTCCATCTCTAGTCCCTGACAACTACTGAACTGTGTTCTGCCCCTATAGTTTTGCCTTTTCTAGAATGTCATAGAAGTGGAATGACACAGTATGTAACATTTTTAATCTGTCTTTTTTCACATACGCATTTGCACTTGAGATTCATCCATGTTGTATTGATAGTTCTTATTATTTAGTTATAGTATTCCATTGTGAAGGTGTACCACAGTTTGTGTATCCATTCCCCAGGTTGTGTTCAGTTTTTAGTGATTACAAATAAAGTACTATAAACATTCCTGTATAGGCTTTTATATGAATTTTTTATCTTGAGGGGTAAAATACTTAGGAATGGGATTGGTGGGCCATATGGTAAGTATATATTTAACTTTATAAAACACTTCCAAATTAGAATTTCAAAGTGGCTGTATAATTGTGCATTCCCACCAGCAAAGTATGAAATTCCCATTCTTGTTAGCACTTGGTATTATTGTCAGTTTTTGTTTGTTTGTTGAGATTATAGTTATTCTAGTGGGTGTGTAGAGGTGTATCATTTTGGTTTTAACTTGTATCTCTCTAATGACTAAAGATACAAGTATATTTTCAAATGTTTATATATCATTATTTACCTTCTTTGGTGGTAAACATTTTTGCCCATTTAAAAATAAATAAATATGGTCTTTGTTTTCTTGCTATTAAAATATGAGAGTTCTATACGTATTTGGATAAAGGTCTTTTATGAGCTTTGTAATTTGCAAATGTTAAGTCTCAGTCTGTCATTTGCCTTTCAAGATCTTAACAGCATGTTTCTAGAAGTTTTTAACTTTGATGAAGTGCAGCTTTTTTAAAAAATATATTTTATTATTTTATTGATTTTTTTATAGAGAGGAAGGGAGAGAGATAGAGAGAAACATCGATGAGAGAGAAACATCGATCAGCTGCCTCCTGCACACCCCCCGCTGGGGATGTGCCCGCAACCAAGGTACATGCCCTTGACCAGAATCAAACCTGGGACCCTTCAGTCTGCAGGCTGACGCTCTATCCACCGAGCCAAACCGGCTAGGGCTGAAGTGCAGCTTTAACAATTTTTTTTTTTTTTAATGAACAAGGCTTTTTGTGCTGTAGCTAAGAAATTTTTGCCTAACACAAAGATTCTCTTAGCCCTAGCTGGTTTGGCTCAGTGGATAGAGCGTTAGCCTGCTGACTAAAGGGTCCTGGGTTTGATTGCCATCAAGGGTACATGCCTGGGTTGTGGGTTTGATCCCCAGTAGGGGGCGTGTAGGAAGCAGCCGATCAATGATTCTCTCTCTCTCTGTCTGTCTCCCTTTTCTCTCTGAAATCAATAAAAATATATTTTAAAAAAATGTCTCGTATATTTTAGGTTTTATATTTAGATCTATGATCCATTTGAGTTAACAGTTGTGTCAAGTTATTATCTGATAATATATGTTTCATGACTTTGGTTATTGTTAATTTGTGCAAGTTATTTTTTGACACAGTATATGGTCTATTTTGATTTCCTTGTGTATGTGACAAGAATGTGTGTTTGCCATTGTGGGCGGAGTGATCCATGACTGTCAAGATGGTTCATAATGTGATTTCAAATTGGTGTTCTGTTTATTGTGTGTGTGTGTGTGTGTGTGTGTGTGTGTGTGTGTATGTGTTTCAGTTTGGGTATTTTCTATTGATCCATTTTCAAGTTCATTGTTTCTTGGCTGTGTTGAGTTTGTTAATGAAGCAAACTTACTAAATCTCTGTTGCCATGTTTTTGTTTTCTGTAATTTATGTTTGACCCTTTCTTGTAGTGTCTACTCTTTGCTGAGTTTCCCCATTTGTTCTGCAGTTTGTCCATGAGAAACTTTAGCATCCTATATAATAAAAGCCTAATATGCTAAGTGTCCAGTTGTCTGGTTGGCCATTCAACCAATCAAAGCGTAATATGCTAATGATATGTTAAGGCCAGTTAACTGCCTGCTATGATGTACACTGACCACCAGGAGGCAGACGCTCCGACTAGTAAGTTAGCTTGCTCCTGGGGTCTGGCTGATCGGGACTGAGCGAGACATGCTGGACACACCCTGGAGCCCTCCCACGGTCCCTCCCCAGCTGGCCAACCTCCTGCATCTCTCCCCAGCCCTGATCGTGCACCGATGGGGTCCCTCAGCCTGGCCTGCTCCCTCTTGCAATCCAGGCTGAGGGCGCCCCCTCTCCCCGAGTGCATGAGTTTCGTGCACCGGGCTTCTAGTATATTATAATAATCTTAAATTCCCTACCTGACATTTTTTATATCTGGGTCTGTCTCATTCTGGTTATGTTGTTTGCTTGTTTATTGGCAGTGGGTTGTTTTCTTTCTTGCCTTTTGTGTGCCTTGTTATTTTTTGTTGGATTTTGGACATCTTGTTTAGGACAGTAGCAATTGAGGCAGATGGTATTTGTGCTTGCATATGGGCCCATCTTGTCTTTTACAAGGCCTTTTAGTGGGGCACGGGAAGGGTTGGTGGGTTGAGCTGAGTTGAGTTGGCTTTTGTTGTTGCTATTGTTTTCCTCAGTGTACCACAGGCTTCAAGTCCTCTGGCTGCTTTGTGTTGATGATGTGGGCTGGTTTGCCAGAGCGGTTTCTTTTTATAATACAGGGTGGTACAAAAGTAGGTTTAGAGTTATGAGTTTGCAAAACCCAGAGTTTATTCTTGTATTATTATTTATTAATTATTGTGTTATTTTCCATAACATTTGTGAACCTATTTTTGCCCCACCCCGTTAGTATTCCACCCTCAGCTCTTGGTTTTTCCTTTGCACCTGTGTGTCTCAGAGAAGGTTTCTCTTTGCACTGCTGACTTTCCCTCAGCAGTAGACTGCTGTTACTTGTTACTCAGTGTTTATCAGAGGGACATTCTCTGTTCTGATATAGCTTCGGTCTTAGGCGAGCTCTGTAATGGTGAGTCCAGTGGTTAGGGCCCCCTTAGTGCCCCAACTTCAGGGGGCCTCTGTAATCTGGGCTCATAATATATTCCTGCCCACAATAGGATAGAAGGTTCTTCTTTTCTCTTCCTCCAGCTGCAGTGGGGCTTTACTAGTACTTGTGCCCTAAAGCCACTCTATCATCCTTATCTGAGTACCTGAAGATTTTTTTAAAATATATTTTATTGATTTTTTACAGAGAGGAAGGGAGAGGGATGGAGAGTCAGAAACATCGATGAGAGAGAAACATCGATCAGCTGCCTCCTGCACACCCCCTACTGGGGATGTGCCCGCAACCAAGGTACATGCCCTTGACCGGAATCTGGGACCCTTGAGTCCGCAGGCCGACGCTCTATCCACTGAGCCAAACCGGTTACAGCTGAAGGTTTTTGTTCTTTTGGAGAGGTAAGAGTTGAAGAATCTAGGCTGTGCATCAACTTCATGCCTTTCTTTCCCATAGTGGCTGCTGCTGCCTTCTCTAAGGCCTGTACTCTGAGAGAGGCTGTGCTGAAGTTTCTTAACTACTCCCAATCTTCCTCTGGAGTCCCTGGCAAGTCTGTGGAGAGGAGCCTGCAAATGAGTTTGAATTCTTGTGGCAGCACCTCCCAGGGCTCTGCAACTTTGATACTAGCCCACTTTTGACCTTGAGCATTTCATTTCAAATGTTAGCTGAATTCTTTCCTGGCTCGTATGGAGTCTAGCATTTTCTCCAGATAAACAAGTGTTTCAGCTCCATCCATCCTTGAAGGTGCAAGTCTTTCCTTAGATTTCAGGTTAATTGG